AAATAGAATTATTATTGGGAGGCTAGCTTTGGCTTCTCACCAAGAAATTGCTTATACCATTTTGCTGATAATTTTGGAGTTCTCTCTTGAGTGTTGTAATTCACATGATAGAGCCCAAATCTTTTGCTATATCCACTTGACCACTCAAAATTATCAATCAAAGACCATATGAAATAACCCCTCACATCAGCTCCTTTCCTGTAATTCAACACAAATAATTGATCATCAACTTATACAAATAATGTCATTTGTATAAATCTAAATTCTTTACCTGATAGCTCTCATTAATGAAGAAAGGTAGGTTCTATGATACTCCACTCTTTCTTTGTCATTCAGCAGTTCATTCATTATTTCATTGGATGGATTTCTGCTACCCTCTTGCCCAAACCCTAATTCAGTCACCATTTACATATCAAAACAAAATGAAATGATCATCAAGGTACAATTCTCATGTATTTACATATCTGACATCCAAAACTTGATATTTACACTTATAACATCTTGGTGCCACGAATGTATGCATGAAAAAGATAGTGATGATAACATCTTGGTTTAAGGTTAAAGATCAATTTCAGTGGCATGCAATACATGAGAATTGTATGGTATGTATGTAAATGACACAGATCATTATAAGCAAGCAAAAAAAGTAGGTTTTGATAAGAATATATGTGATACCATTCTCTGTGATGAAGATAGGGGTATTGTTATATCGTTCCTTGACATACAAAATAATATTTTCCATGCCTCTTGGAACCACGTAGAAGTTCTCAACACCAGTCTGCCAAACAATTGATAAAATTACATTAATAGTTAGAATATATGTAATTTAAGGTATGATTTGCAAATATATTTCTGAGATATGTAATTTACAGACCTTAGCACCAATGATTTGCCCATCCTTTTGTGCAGTGAAGTAAGCATATCCGTTGCCTTCTGTATCAGAATCACATGGTGAAAACATGCAGTCTTTTGCATAGAAAGATGAGTAGTGATTAATCCCAATAAAGTCGAGCTTATTTTGAAGTTTTTGTTTATCATCTGAAGAGAATTTTGGCAATCTTGATCCCAGAATTTGTCGCATTTCTGGCGGGTAGTCTCCATAAATTATTGGATCTATAAACCTAAACAGACAGAGCAAAAATGAAAACTATGTATAAGGAAAAAAAATTACTTTTCTTATCCAAAATTAATAATATATTAGGAGTTCACCATACAAATATATATAAATATGTACAAAATTTTTCTTCAAATTAGCATAATACTTTGAAAAAAATAATATAAACAATTCAACTGTATTGTAAGTGTACATAAAAAGTGGGCCAGTCTAAATCTTTTAGCAGGACAACTCGAAGCCAGGATGACACAAAACTTGGACAAACCGAAGTCAAAATGACCCGAAGACAGAATGACCCAGGACCAGGAGACCCGAAGCCAGGACTACCCGTGACTAGGACAACCTGAAGCCTGGATGATCCAAGGCCAGGACTACCCCAGGCATGGACGCTAGAAGACTGGATGACCCGAAGCTAGGACGACCCGATGAAAAGGTGACCCGAAGTTGAACGACCCCATATAGCCAAGTTGAAGGCTTATACATGTAAAATGCCTAAAATAACGTGTGCAACCCTCATCAATGTAGGGTTAGAAATATAATATCTTCATATTGTACTTCATGCCCTATAAATACGTGGTCATTTCATGTAAGTGAGACCCATTTTCTTACTTTTTGCTCTCTCATTTTCCCATGCATAAAAAATATTTATTTTTTAAAAAAGACCCACAAGCGCCCGGGAATACCCCATTCTACCCTGATAGGGGCAAGCCGTTGCGCACTCCTCTTCCCTCTATCTCTACCCTCCTCTCTCTCTTCTTTCTAACACTCTAATCCCTTGAGGTGCGACTGACAGACAAATTATATTTCAACAGTAATATAGTTAAAGTTAGCTTAAGTTCAAGCGTTCAACAAAGTGAGAGATATACCAAGGAACTTCAAATGACAGACCACGTGAGGTAGCCAGTTTATCTGCAGGAGTATTTGTAAATGGCTCAAGCCAAACTGCAGCCATGACAATGCCAATAAACCCTCCTTGTTTTGCCTAACATAAATCAGAACAAAGACTTTCATAAAGAAATATTTCTAAAAGTTCATTATTATATGTTTTTTCATATAAATGTCTCAGGATATTATGACATAGATTTTTGGCATTTCAGCACTTTAATAATTTATAATATTACCTGATATTTCTTTCTATATATGTTGACAGCTGCGGCATGAGATAGTATAAGATTGTGAGCAACAACATATGGTTCTATTCTAGAGTCCCCTGATGGGCAAGAAGGCTGGGAACAGCGACCTGGAGGGTATTCGCCTTTCATATATCCCCATGTTGCCAAAATGTTTGGTTCATTTAATGTGCTCCAATACTTTACTTTTTCACCAAATGCTTTAAAGCATATATCTGCAAAGTATGCAAAATCTTTCCTGAAAAAAAAAAACAAATATAAAAAATCAATAAAAACATTTTATGTAAAGTCATTGTGAATGACTTTTTTTAAAAAATCTTACTTTTGTGGGGCATATATTTGTCTTTTTTGCATTATATATATAAGTGATGCTTATAATTACTTAAGTTTAAATCTTTTTGTTGGTAATTTAGGACCCGTTTGGGGCAGCTTATAAGTGTGGCGGCATTTTTGAAAACTCGGCGGTACCGTTTGGTTAGCGTGTTTTGTCCGTTTATCCGAAAATGTGGTTCCATTTTTACACTAAAAGCAAGCCGCGGGTCGATCCCCATTTGGTTCGCGTGTTTTGTCCGTTTATCCGAAAATGTGGTTCTATTTTTACACTAAAAGCAAGTTGCCTAAGTCGACCCACGGGCCGCATTTTAAGATAAGGAGCTTATTCTGAAACGCACAAGCTGCTTCATACGCACTCTTAATCTTTCATCAAGCATGTTAAGAGCATAACAATTATTAAAATACATATAAAGGTCTTGTACACGGGCGGCATTTTAAGATAAGGAGCTTATTCTAAAATGCACAAGCTGCTTCAAACGCACTCTTAATTTTTCATTAAGCATGTTAAGAACATAACAATTATTAAAATACATATAAAGGTCTTGTAGAAGTTTTAATTCCACACACACACACACACACTCATAAGGGAGTTATTGAGCTTTTCATGAAAGAAGAGGTATTGCTATCTTTGGTCATAATAGGAAAAAAAAAGTTCTTTATCAATATTGTAAAACTTAGTGAACAACATAGTGAATTAATCAAATTTTATGCAGCTATGGATGTTGAATTATTTAATGTAAAGTATATAAATTTTGATATTTTCCTCATCGCTAAAAATTTGTGTTAACAAAAGAAATATATAAAAAAAAAGATAGACGTCGAGAATGTCTTCACGAAAAGATTACATACTGTATTTGAGGACTTAACCATGCACCATATCTAACTTCAAGTTCTTGAGGAATATCATAATGGCATAAAGTAACAAATGGTTGTATTCCTGTCCAAAAAACAAGTGAGTATATAAAATGTCATAACAAGTTATATGAACTTCTCAGATAATTTTAAATATGGGACAAAAAAATCACCTTTATCAAGCAAGGCATCTATAAGATTGTTGTAGAATATGATGCCATTTTGATTTATCTGCCCAAATCTGCCTCCTGCTCCAAAGATTTGGGTTTATTTTCTAACAGTATTTAAAAGCATGTGCCAAAAAAAATTACATTTTGATTACTTACTTGGAAGGATTCTGGTCCATGATATTGAAAATCTATATGAGTTTACTCCAAGGTTATGCATTAGCTCAATGTCCTCCTGTTCAATAGTTGTATTTATCAGGTTAATTATACTTAATCATGTGTCATGAGTCTATGATCAGCTCCATAATTAAAATTAATAAGTAGGCTTATTTAATTAATTATTATTTTCTTAAGAATTCCACATAGAAGGTGCTGACCATGTAACGGTGATAGTGGTCATCTGCAACATCTCCATTGCTGTGATCTAATATCTTTCCTGTCATATGTCATCATATTAGAATTTTAGACAGTATAACAATTAAAACACAAAGAAAAGATGAGCCCTTTGACATCACTTTTTCTTTTCATATCTATATTTTGTTACATAAGATTTTTTTTTTTAATGCATGCTTCATTTTTTTAGCTGTTTAAATGTATCTATTTAACATTTATAACCAATTTTTGAGGAATATTTTTTTTTTTAAGTTATGGACCAGTCATCTGAATGATCAACAGACTGATCAAGCTAACGGTCTGTGAATCTGGTCGACAGACCGATCTAAGGTTCCAGCCGCCAAAGCTCCAAAAAAGCTGGCCGACTGGTCATTCATATCTCGGCAGAAACGACCTCCACTCGGCCTATCACTTTCATTAGCCGAACCAAGACACCTCTACTCGGCCTGTCACTTTCTGCCCGGCCTCTCAACTAAAAATTTCCTAACACTCTTCCCTCTCTCTCCTTCTTCCTCTCCTGGCTCTAACTCTCGAGGCTTGTTCTATACATATGTATGTATATCCACTAGTACTATTTATTTATTTGTTTTGACCTCTGTATTTTTTCTGTTATGTCTTGAAATCAATACAAACAGCCCAATAAAATTCCAGAAAAATAATTTACCAGGTATGCGAGTAAATACATCCCAATTGCTCATGCTCTTGTTACCTTCTGAATATGCACCCTCGATCTGTAAATCATCAGTATTTAACCAATCAAACATACATTTATTTACTAAATACTAACATTTCAATAAGAATTACATTATTTAAAATGATTAAATAAGAAACCACACATCAAATCAATAAAAAAATTGATTTAAATTTAAATCAATTATTAGCAATTGCTTAATGACAGAACCTGATATGAAGATGTGGCTGTCCCAAAGAGAAAGTCAGCTGGGAATTGCTTCCTATCAACACCTGCTTCTGTTTCCGCTTTTGCTTCTGCTCCTGCTATGAAAAACAGAGTAACAAGAAGCAGAAGAGCAATTGCTTCTTCAAAGCTCTTCATTCTCCAAATCATATAAATTATGTATCTCTCTATATGAATATTTTGTTCTGAGAAATGATGCAGGAATGAAGATGGAGAATGCTGTGAAGTTAAGATGGTTGTTTAAATAAGCAAGCTGCCTTGCTAAGTCTGTCTTATATGAAGAATATATTAAATATGCTAACCAGCTCTTAGTCTTTATTCAAGGTCTATGTCATGATACATTTTATTATGTTCTTCTCGAGATACTTTGAAGAAGTTTGCTGATATTCAGAATTGTTTTCAGACAAAATGCTTTAGGAATCCTTCCAAATGCTTTTTGGGATATTTTGACGAAGTTTGCCGACCCGTTGGATTTAAAAAATTTTCATTTTGGAGATAAAATAACATTAGGTAACCACCAAGGTTTTTAAATTCCAAATAAAGTTAGGAGGTGCTTAAACATAAATTTTATGTGAAAAAGACTTTACCTTTTTTAATTCTAGATATTCACTTATGTTAAGATGGTGAGGAGCTAAAAAATCTTGGGTGGAAAAATCACTTATGTTAGAATCCTATTTTGCCTAGTAGAAATGACCGTTGAAAGTAAAAAATATTACGTTTGGTGTCCGAAGACAAGCTGCATCTGGACAACGGCTGCGACAATAAGAAGGAGCGGAGAAGAAAAAAAACGACCTATGATGAATCACAGATGTAATATTTATTCCTTTGAAAGGCAGAATCTTGCTTGGTAGAAATTATTATGACCCGCAATATCACTCACAAATCAGGTGCATGATGATGTTAGATATATTCAATATATATATATATATATATATTCTAAACATTGCATAAAGTTTGAAATAAATATTATGCATATTTACAAATTTTCATCATAGGAAGTAAACTTTTTTCATTGTTTATTTAGGGTTAACATATATGTTGTCATCTGATATAACCAATTGCATCTCATTTGATGTTTTTCCCTTTAGAATAAAGACGAGAAAATTCTCTTTCTTTTTGTGGAGTAGATCTGAACTTTTTTTTTTGGCAAGTATTCTAAATTTTAAAAGGAAAAAAAGCAATTTATTCCACCTAGAACCAGCCAAAAGGCTTGACTAACTCAATTTTCTTCTTTTTTTAATTTTTTTATTTTTTTTTTTATTTTTTTTTTTGAGTTTCTAAACTTTGATGGTGGGCCACTTTATCATCCGTGTAAATGAGCCGAACACGAGCGAGCCCGGACTCAGTTCGTGTTTGACTTGTTAAAAAATAACATTGTTTATGTTCGGCTCGTTTATATTTCAAATAGACGAAATTTGTTCGTGTTTGGGGATAACCCTAGCCACGCATGTAGTAGTTAGGGGTGTAAACGAGTCGAGCTTGAGCGAGCTCGGATTCGACTTGTTAAAAAATATTATTATTCGTGTTTGCTTCATTTATATATCGAGCTCAAAAAAGTTTGCTTGTGTTTGGCTCGTTTGCTTATCGAGTTGAACACGAGTTATTCACGAACAATGAACTATTTTGACAACCTAGTCACACAGATGTAAAATGTTAAGGATATGATGAGATTTAAATATAGTTATGTATATTAAAATATTCATTTAAATATAGTTTAATATATTTTATATTATTCTTAATTAGTAATTTTAATTGATTATAAATCTTTGTCTTTTAGTCAATTTAATTATTTAAAAATAATACTCATTATATATATATATATATATATATATATAT